TAATGCAAGCTGGCCGGGTGGCTCACAAGTCTGGGTATTGAGCTGGTACCATAGAACCTGGGTCCGAATCTGGGATTAATCAGGCCGTGATTAAAACGGGTTCTCAACTGGAGTGAGATGGTCTCAGTCTAGCCACCAATAGTTGTACATTAAAAAAAACCCATCACATAAAATTAGATTCTGCACTTAATTTTGCCAAATGTAATTCTGAAAATTAAAATATTTCACTAAGTGGAAACATGGTAGGGAAAAGCACTACCACCTTACCCTCTACTGTGTGCACCATAGGCCAAGAGGATGGATTTGATCTGCTCAAGTAGGCCGTTCTCTGGCACAAAGGGTTGCACTTCTATGTGAGAGTTCTGAATGGATTATTTGCTTCATGACCTAATACTGATAGCACAATTATTGAAAATCAGAATATGTATTTATACTGGAGGAATTCGATAAGCTAGCTCCTTTTCACAGATGTTCAGAATCAGAATCAGAAAGGGTTTTATTCGCGATGAAAGTTGCACAGACAAGGAATTTACTTTGGCAGGAAGGTGCATACATTCAACATATAGGAATCTTAAATCTTAAATAAGTGGTATACAAGTCTAACTATACTAAAGGTACAAAGTCTAACTAACACTAAGGGGCTAAAGTATGTAAAATTTTGAATAAATATTGAATATAAAGTAGCTATAAGATACAATCTAAAAATGAAAAAAATACAAATAGGGTAACATAGTGTAAATATGGCAAGGTGTCATTTTGTAGAAAAAATGTTAAAGTCAGTGTAAGCCCTTGGCCTTGTTGAAGAGGCCAGCAGCGGATGGGAAGAAACTGTTTTTGTGGCGTGAGGTTTTGGTCCTGATGGACCGCAGCTTTCTGCCGGAGGGGAGTAGCTGGAACAGAGATTGTCCAGGGTGGGAGGAATCGGCAACAATCTTCCTCGCTCGCCTCATGGTCCTCGAGGTGTGCAGGTCCTCGAGGGTTGGTAGATTGCAAGCAATCACCTTCTCAGCAGTGTGGATGATACGCTGCAGTCTGCTCTTGTCCTTGGCAGTGGCAGCAGCGTACCAGACGGTTATGGAGGAGGTGAGGATGGATTCAATGATTGCTGTATAGAAGTGCATCATCATTGTCTTTGGCAGGTTGAATTTCTTCAGCTGCCGTAGGAAGTACATCCTCTGTTGAGCTCTCTTGGTGAGGGAGCTGATGTTCACTTCCCACTTGAGGTCCCGGGAGAGAATAGTGCCCAGGAAGCGGAAGGACTCTACAGTTTTGACTGGGGAGTCGCACAGGGTGATGGGGGTGAGTGGGGCTGTATTCTTCCTGAAGTCCACAACCATCTCCACTGTCTTTAGAGCATTTAGCTCTAAGTTGTTTTGGCTACACCAGGTCACCAGGTTGTCAGCTTCTCACCTATAGTCAGACTAATCCCCACCAGAGATCAGCCCAATGAGGGTGGTGTCGTCCGCAAATTTCAAGAGTTTGACGGACAGATGATTAGAGGTGCAGCTGTTGGTGTACAGGGAGAAGAGCAGTGGGGAAAGGAAGCAGCCCTGAGGAGTTCCGGTGCTGATGGACCTGGAGTCAAAGACTTGTGTTCCCAGCTTAACGCACTGCTTCCTGTCAGACAGGAAGTCTGTGATCCACCTGCAGGTGGAGTCGGGCACGTTTATCTGGAAGAGCTTGTCCTGAAGCAGGGCAGGGATGATGGTGTTGAAGGCAGAGCTGAAGTCCACAAACAGGATCCTGGCGTAGGATGCTGGGGAGTCCAGATGCTGTAGGGTGAAGTGGAGGGCCATGTTAACTGCGTCGTCCACAGACCTGTTGGCTCTGTAGGCAAACTGAAGGGGGTCCAGGAGAGGGTCTGTGATGGCTTTGAGGTGTGCCAGGACCAGGCGCTCAAAAGACTTCATTACCACAGAGGTAAGGGCGACCGGTCTATAATCATTTAGTCCTGTTGGCCTTAGCTTTTTGGGCACAGGGATGATGGTGGAGGACTTGAGATAGGCTGGTACATGGCATGTCTCCAGGGAGGTGTTAAAGATGTTGGTGAATACCGGAGACAGCTGGTCAGCGCAGTGCCTGAGGGTGGCTGGCGAGACAGAGTCCGGCCCAGCTGCTTTGCGTGGGTTCTGCCTCTTGAAAAGTCTATTAACTTCTCCCTCCTGAAAGGAGAGAGTCGTCTCTGTAGTAGGGGTGGGGGATGGGGCCTCTTTGGTGGGAAGAGGTAGTTCAGGACAGTCCAATTGTCTTTCAAATCTGCAGTAGAACTCGTTCAGTTCGTTGCCCAGGCAGGAGTCGTTAGTGGTGTGGGGGGCTCTGGGCTTGTAGTTGGTGATCTGCCTGAGCCCTCTCCAGACAGAAGCAGAGTCGTTAGCAGAGAACTGGTGTTTTAGTCTCTCTGAGTAGTCGTTTAGCATCTGTCACCGCCTTGCTAAACTTGTTTTTCGACTCCTTGAATCTGTCTCTATCCCCACTCCTAAACGCTTCCTCCTTCTCCAACCTCAATCTTCTGAGCTTTATTCTTTGGTTCTTTCGGTAAAGTCACGTAGAAATAGAAAATAAATTACATAATATCATACGACGTTTCGATTGCAAAGCAAGCAATCATCATCAGGTACAAATGAAAGAGAAACAAACCTAGTGAACTTAGAAATATAATGCAACACAGCGCAGAAAGTCGGCTGACACAGCAGTCAACACTCTACCTGGTTGATTACGTCCAAGAGACACAGAACCGGAGACATACACAGACACACAAGCGGAAAGAGTTAACACAGAGACACAGAGAGAGAGAGAGACACGCATGGGCACACAGAGAAACAACGTCTCTGTGTCGAGGCCTTAAATAGCTAGAGAGGGGGTACAGAGAGAGGGGGGGGGGGTTAGAAGAATGAGCATGTCAATGGGAGATCCCACAATGAGAGCTCCACCGCCAACGCTGAGGGGAGACAGAGACGGAGGCAACACTAAATCAAACTAACTTAGTAAAATTTGGAAATGTAATGTAATGCGATACAGAGTCGGTCAACACACAATGAACACATGGCCTGGTCGATTACGCCACTCCAAAGATTGCTCAATTAGAAGTTAAGTGTGAAATTTGGGAGAGAGACAAGGCACAGACATGGAGACACAAAGACAGACACACAAGCAGAGAGAGACAACAACGAGACAGAGAGAGAGAGGAAAAAACAGAGCTTTGCTGAGAACCAGGACTTGTTGTTGTTGTTGAAGTTCACCCTGGTACGTGTTGGTATACAGCAGTCCTCACAGAAGCTGATGTACGACGTCACAGCCTCTGTGAGTTAATCCAGACTATTGGTAGCAGTCGTGAACATATCCCAGTCAGTACAGTCCAAGCACGCCCGCAAATCCTCCACAGCCTCACTGGTCCACTGTTTAGATGTCCTCACAGCAGGTTTACATAGCTTTAGTTTCTGCCTGTATGCAGGAATCAGGTGGACCATGGCATGGTCAGAGTGTCCCAGTGCTGCTCGGGGGACGGCGTGGTAGGCTCTACTGACTGTAGTGTAGCAGTGATCCAGAGTGTTCCCTTCTCTGGTAGAGCATTTAATGAATTGTATGTATTTGGGAAGTTCGTGGCTGAGATTACCTTTGTTAAAGTCGCCAAGTACGATAATCAGCGAATCTGGATTTGCTCGCTCCACACTCAGAATCTGGTCGGCGAGCATGCGTTGGGCCTCTTTAACCTGAGGACCCGGCGGCAAGTAAACTCCGACCAAAATGAGCGACGCAAACTTGCGAGGCGAGTAGAAAGGTTTACAGTTTATAAAAAATTATTCAAGGAGCGGAGAACAATGTTTGAGAATCACTGTGACATCTACACACCAGCCACTGTTAATGTAAAAACAAATACCACCGCCTTTCGTCTTGCCGGAGAGTGCTATGTCACGATCCGATCTTACAAGATGGAATGCTGCCAGTTGTAGCGCAGTGTCCGGAATCAAATCACACAGCCATGTCTCCGTGAAGCACAAAACAGAAGATGAAAGAAAGTCTCTGTTTTTCACCATCAGTAGCTGAAGTTCGTCCATTTTGTTGCACAGTGCAGAATTATTGTACGTTGGATAGGAAAAAGCTTGGAAGCACTGTTCGGATCCCGCGTCTGCGTAGCCGTATGAGAGCCCCCGACCGTTTACCCCTTGGGCGGCGTGTCGTTGCTTGAGCAAAACCTAGTAGTTTTCACAGATGTCCAGTAGCACAAATCAACAATCGTATTTCTTGTACCACTATTTCTGCTCAAGGCTTGTGCGTGCGCTGGTGACCTTTTAAGTGATGACTGCGCGAGAAGCTGCTGTTGCAAATATCGCAACGGTAGGGCTTCTGCCCCGTGTGCGTGCGCTCGTGGACCTTCAGATTGCAAGACTGCGCAAAGGACCGGTTGCACATCTTGCAGCAGAATGGCTTCTCTCCCGTGTGTATGCGATGGTGATACTTAAGAAGTGAGAGCCACGCAAAGCTCTTCTTGCACACCATGCACTCGTATGGCTTGTTCACCAAGTTAACATTCCCGTTCGCTTCCAGCGACCTTAACTTGTCCAGCTGGTTAACTGGCCCTTATACGCTTTAGCGTATCACAATGTATCAGCAGCTTTATTTTCCAAAACTAAGCATTCCTTCATATGCTAATGCCAGACTGACATCAAATAATGAACATATAGATGTGTCGCTAAATCCACACATAGCATACAGTAAAACCTGTAGTAAGCTGAAATTTGGGGTAAGCCAGATGGCTACTTGAATAATCACTGATGTATGTTGAACTACTTTCGCACCTTATGTAGCACCGCACGTAGCTAACCGTGCTAATCGTAGGTGCAGGACAACAAAATAAACAGTATAAAATATACAGTATAAGCAAAACAACACTGTTATGCTAGCGTGGTAGGAAATGGTGTGCATAAGTTCATTCGTAATTCTAAAGCTGGGTTCTTGTCTGGTGTATGGAATTCGGTGAATCCATTCACTTGGAACCCCTCGTGCTTAGCCAGGTGTTTTATTTTTTTCTTCCCAACTTTGATTTTACATTCATATTGCAAATAAACAAAATAAATTCAAGCCTGTCAGAAATTCTCTTCAGCCTTCCACAACCAGTAAACCTTAAGCCTTCCCCCTCTGTTTTAAGGTGACGTTGACTCCGGTTAAACGGTTAAACTGTACCTAGTGATGTTATTTTGCATTACACTGTAAAAAATGTACTCGTAAATAGTTATTTGAATATATTAGATGTTAATTTCGTGTAAATATCATTCAAATGTAGTCCTTAAGAATTATTTTATTATTTGCATAATTCCAGACATCCCCCATAACTAAAAAGGTCCTGTTAATTACTCTGATTTTGAGAGGATCTACTACTATATAAGGATTGAGATATCACGACCAACTGCCAGCTTTAAATACAAAATTAACGTGTTTAATAAGTTCAGCGAATAGGATACAACTTTACCGTTCAGTGTGTAATCGTCAATTTCAATCATCACACTGTTCTCAGGGGAGACGACCGGTTTGGCTGAAGGGGAACCAACGGCGCACATTCCGGTGTTATCAATGTCTCCCAGCCTCTGCACGGACAACAGCAGCTCCCGGCTCAAGCCGCTGAACAGCGCGAGCAGCACGTCCACCAGGCCTCCCAGGGTTACGTCGCCAGGGGAGGAAGCGGCGGCGGCATCCGAGCACGGCGTCCCGGCGTCGTGGTGCTCGGCATCCTGCAGGGCCTTCACCACCTGCCGCAACACGGCGCAGAAGCCGACGGGCAGGCGGTCGCGCGCCGTGGCCAGCAGCTTGGCCCGCACGAGGCCGTCCCTGACGCAGGCCCGCAGGACCCCATAGTCCCGGATGCCCAGCTCAGAGTCCATGGGCCGGGCCACCTCCGCGTTCACGCCCTGCGCCTCCAGCCACGCCGGGAAGTCCCCGCTTGACTCCAGCACCGGGGTGGCCACTGCACACGCCATCCTGATGGGACATGGTTAATATTCAGGTTTTATCTAAAAAATATTGTAAAACTGTAATTTATATATCTAAATTAATTTAAAAAATACATTTCCTCTGCCTAAAAATCAAAATTTGCAATCAATTTCTCAGTTCTGATATTGTCCCTTCGACCTCCAAACTTGCAGTGGTCACAATCCACCCTTCCTATCCAAGGTCCTCGAATACCTTGTTGCCTTGCAGTGGAACCAACATCTGTCCTCTCCTGACCTGCTCGATCCATTAGAGTATGGGTCCAGGGGCGGACACGGCACTGAGATGGCTGTTTGCTAAAGCGGTGAATGACCTTTTAATTGCTGCCGACTCAACCAGAATTCTAGTGTTGCTAGATTTCACTTCAGCCTTTGACACTATCGATCACGACTTCTTCATTAATAATAATTTCATTTTATATATCGTCATTCATGCAATTGCATCCCACAACGATGCACATCAATTATCCAGTTCCGTACACAGATACCACGGATAATGATTAATCACTTGGCATGCATCACAGGGGGTCCGAGGGACTGCTATCCCTTAGTTCAGGTCTTATCTTACTAATTGGGAACCGTTCGAATCCATGGGAGATTTGAAATCTTCCTCCAGTGCCGTATCATTTGGGGTTTCTCAGGGATATGTTTTTGGCCCTCCTCTGTTTTGTATGTATATGGTCCCACTGGGTCATCTGCCCCTACATCTCAGCATAAAGTATTAATTGTTGTGCAACGACACCCAAATGTACTTGTACACGAAGTCCAATCTCCCTTCATCTGCCTCTATGCTCACTTTGGCGCTGGCTTCCATCAAAAGTTGGACGCAGCAAAAAAAACTTCCTTAAATTGGTTTAACACGTAGCAGCATTTCGCGACCAATATTATTTCATAATAAAAGGTGTTTGGGTTAGATCGTGTCAGTATAAATGTGTCGTTAACCTGCCACCACCCGACGAAGCCAACCAGTAAGGTTTGTCACGTGAACAACATGTGCTAATCAGTTACTACATCAGCCCACCGGGTGTGCTGGAGCGTAAATCCACAACATTTACAATTTGAGTACTGTGACGTTTCGCTGGTAATTACAGCATCATCGGGCGATATCGGCAGAATTTGTGCTGGATGTAATAATTATGCTGGATGTAATTACTCAAATTGTTAATGTTGTGGATTTACTCTCCAACACACCGTGTGGGCTGAAGTAGTAACTAATTGGCACAAATCTGGCTGTCGCCTGATGAAGCTAGTTGTAATTACTGGCTAAACGTTTCGAATTGTAAATGTTGTGGCTTAGCTCTTCAACACACCGGTGTGCTGTACTAGTGACGAATTGTCATGTTCTGTTTACGTGACAACCCTTACTAGTTGGCTGTGTCGGGTGGTGGTGGGTTTTTACGACACATTTATATGTTAACGCGATCTAACCCCAAAAAAACCTATATTATGTCACGTTTTGTTTCCTCCAATTCAACGCGGGTAAAACGGAGGCGATATTAGATCATCATTTCCCCCAACAAACTTCAAAAAGCTGCTCTATTCAACAATACCACGGATAGCCAGGTCATCGGTTCGGCACAGGAAATCAGAAATCTAGGGGTCATATGTGGTCCCACACTGCCCTTCGAGGCTCATATTAAAGAGATCACAAATGCTTAATTTTTCAATCTTGGGAATGTCTCCCGTATCTGATCCCTTCTATCTGCTTTAGATGCAAAGCAGGTGGCCGATGCCTTAATTTCAACTTGCATCGACTACTGGTGCTTAACTATCTGAAGCATTGCTCAGAATGCGGCTGCAAGGGTGCTTATCAGAGCGTCTTCAGATCACATTACACCCCTGTTGGTGTCTCTGTGCTGGCTTCCAGTTTCACGTAGAATTCAGTTTAAAATCCTATTGCTAACATACAAAGCTCTGAAACAACCTTGCCCCCAGCCTAATTTGGCATCTGTGCAAAATAGCTTTATAGCTCATGAGATTCCTCCGGTATATTCTGACCTCAGAGATATGCTGTACTCATACATCCCCCTCAAGGTCTCGAAAGATCTGGGGATGCAAATCTTCTCTGCGTTCCCAGGTCATACAGGCTTATTTTGGTGATGGGCGACCGAGATTTTTCCCGTGTGGCCCCAAGGCTCTGGAACTCTCTTCCACGCGATCTCAGGATCTCTGAGTCAGTGGAAAAATTTAAAACACGTTGTAAAACTATGCAAAGGTGCACCACGGTGGCGAGATGTTAACTCCCTTGCCTGGGCATACAGGAGGTCGTGGGATCGATCCCGACTCTGACACCTGTATTTATAGGGTGTTTGCATGTTTTCCCCGTAGTTGAGTGGATTTTTCTCCAGGTCCTCTGCGTTTAGACTATTTTTGCTGCTATAAAATTTCCACGTGATAAGCCACTTCGTTGAGCTATCATTTGTGACCAGGCTGGTTCTGAAAAAGAGCTATATAGGGGCCGTCCATAAATGATATCACGCGATTTTGGACGATTTTTACCCCCCCCCCCCCCCCCACTTCGTCACACGGCGTCACAAAAAGTCAGACCCCCCCCTCAAATATGACGTCACAAAGCTCTGCCCCTCCCCCCCCAAAACCATATTTCCATTTTGAAAATAAACATGCTTCAAATCGCTTTAAACTATTGTCATTGTAGTGCGTAGTTAATGTGGCGTTACACTCTGATGTTGTAGGAGAAAAAAATTATTACAAAGTCTATTTAATTAAGTAGAAAGTGTTGTCTATATTTATTTAAAGTTGCGCATTTTTACGTGATGTCATTTTTCTCAACCCCCCCCCCCTTGTCACACATCGTCACAAATGTCTGACCCCCCCCCCCCCCCCCCAGGTGCGTGACGTCTTTTATGGACGGCCCCTTAACACCAACGTTACACCATTGCGGGAGCACATTACACCCGGGTCCTCTCATCTCTTCATTGGCTACCCGTCAAATTTCGAGTGTATTTTAAGATACTGCTATTAAAAGGCTTTAAAAGGGCTCGCCACCACAATTTACTTGTGTAGAGGAGTAGAATGGGGAATTGGCATCACTTGTGCTGTCCAGGGCGATGATGTGACGTCATGCGCTCGGGGCAGCAGAGTGATGTCACGGCTCCTGAAGGATAAAAAGGGGACCCCGTGACGTAAGAGGGGTCGTAGCTGGAGAGTAGGGACGGAGAAGGGTGAAACGGGGAGCCAGGGGCAAGAGGGTAGGGATAGGGGAGAGCACAGTGCCAGGCTAGACGTGGCTGTGCTCCTCGCTCGGCCGTGTTGGTTGATCCCACGGCCGGGGCAGAGGAGACAGCACAGGGCAGCCGGCTGTGTCGGGACCTAGCCCGGGACCCCTAACCCCTGGGGAGTTGTTCACCCCTGTGTATTGTTAAAAATTTGTAATAAAACCTTGGCGGAAGCCCCTACCTTACCTTAGCCTCCAAGTGAGTCGTCGGGAACTCCTTTACAACTGGTGTCAGGAGTGGTTACGCTGCCGTCGCTATGCCTAAATCGGGCGGGCGGCGTAAGAATCCAGCGGCGGGACGCCGGGAGAGTGCTGACGACGTCGGGGAGGCTCCGGCTGCGACCCAGGGGCAGTCCGTCGCCATGGAGATGGACTCGGCGGGGCAGGTGGTGTCGGCGGCTGGGGGTCCCAGCGCACCACCGCCGGTGGCGGGGGGCGATGCCGAGGAGCGGTCGCAGCTGCTCCTGCGGGCGATCGAGCAGCTCACCGCCGCCCTTACAGAGGTGGGAGCGCGGACGCACCCACCCAGCCCACACTCCGCGTGGCACTGGCGGATTCCCGCCGCTTTGCCGCCCGCCAATTTGGAAGTTGGCGCCATTTTTCATGCCCCGCCGGAAGTGGCGGCCATGTTGGTGGGGGAGCCGCAAGCGGACGTCATTTCCGCTGCGGCGCCGGAAGCGGCAGCCATTGTTGCGGCCGTAGCGGCCGCAGACTCGCACCTCGCCGTGGCTACGAGCTTGGCCGCGGAGGCTGCCGCAGATGTCGCTGCCGCAGATGTCACTGTCACGGCTCCGCGCCTCGCCGTGGCTGCGAGCTTGGCCGCGGAGGCTGCCGCAGATGTCGCTGCCGCAGATGTCACTGCCGTGGCTCCGCGCCTCGCTGTGGCTGCGAGCTTGGCCGCGGAGGCTGCCGCGGATGTCGCTGCCGCAGATGTCAATGCCGCGGCTCCGCGCCTCGCTGTGGCTGCAAGCTTGCCCGCGGAGGCTGCCGCGGATGTCGCTGCCGTGGCTCCGCACCTCGCCGTACCGGCGAGCCGGGCCGCGGATTCCGCCGCAATTGCGGGAGGGGCCGCGGATCCATATGCCGCCGCATTTGCGAGGTGGCTCGCAGGCGCTACTGCGCCTCCTCACCTCGCCGCGTCTGCGGCGTGGCCCACGGAGGCCGCAGCGCCGCCGGCCCTCGTCGCGGGGGGGGCCGCGGGGCTGGCCGTTGGCGATGCCGCGGGCCCGCACCTCGTCGCGCCTTCAAGGTGGGTCACGGGCGCTAGTGCACCTCCGCATCCCGCCGCGCCGGCGGGGTTGGCGGTGGCCGCTGCTGCACCTCTGCACCTCGCCGCGTCTACGGCGTGGCCCGGGGGGGCCGCAACGCGGCCGTTGCTCGCCGCGTCTCCGGCGTGGCCCACGGGGGCTGCAACGCCGCCGGCCCTCGTCGCGGGCGGGGCCGCGGGGCTGGCCGTTGGCGATGCCGCGGGCCCGCACCTTGTCGTGCCTTCAAGGGGGGTCACGGGCGCTAGTGTGCCTCCGCATCCCGCCACGCCGGCGGGGTTGGCGGCGGCCGCTGCTGCACCTCCGCACCTCGCCGCGTCTCCGGCGTGGCCCACGGGGGCCGCAATGCTGCCGCACCACGCCGCGTCGCGGGAGGATGCCGCGGATGCGGAGGCCGCCGCAGGCACGCACGCCGGCACCGCAGCTCCGTACGGCGCCGCGGACAGGTGGGTTGCGGGTGCTGTGGCGCCTCCATACCTTGCCGTGTCTTCGGCGTGGCCTATGGGGGCCGCAACTCCGCCGCCACCCACCGCGCCTCCGGCGTGGCCTACGGGGGCCGCAGCGCTACCGCACCTTGCCACGTCTTCGGCGTGGCCTATGGGGGCCGCAACTCTGCCGCCACCCACCGCGCCTCCGGCGTGGCCTATGGGGGCCGCAACTCTGCCGCCACCCGCCACGTCTCCGGCGTGGCCTACGGGGGCCGCAGCGCCACCGCACCTTGCCGCGTTTTCGGCGTGGCCTATGGGGGCCGCAACTCTGCCGCCACCCACCGCGCCTCCGGCGTGGCCTATGGGGGCCGCAGCTCTGCCGCCACCCACCACGTCTCCGGCGTGGCCTACGGGGGCCACAGCGCCACCGCACCTTGCCACGTCTTCGGCGTGGCCTATGGGGGCCGCAGCGCCACCGCACCTTGCTGCGTCTTCGGCGTGGCCTATGGGGGCCGCAACGCTGCCGCACCACGCCGTGGTCGCAGGGTGGCCCGCGGGAGTCGGGGGGCTTCCATACCTCGCCGCACCGCGCGGCCAGGGGCTGTGCCGGTTACCCCACATCGCGCCGTTTGTCACGAAAGTGGGAGACTGGTTGGCCTTCCAGGACCGGTTCGACGCGGCGTATATGTCGGTCGGCTGGTCCATGGAGGAGGCGTTGGGGGCCCTTCCGACCTACCTAGACGAGAAGGCGATCCAGGTCTTCAAGTCCATTCCCCCGGCCGATAAGGCTACGCTTCCGACAGTGTACCTCCGGATGGCCGATGTACTCGAGCCGCCGTCCAGGGCACGCCAGAAGTTTTCACTACGGCGGCGGGAGGAGGGGGAATCTCCATTGGTTTTCCGCTGCTCGCTCCTGGCCTTGGCACAGGTCGCATACCCTGATATACAGGGCAGGGCGCTGGACTCGATGGCCCTGGAACGGCTACTCGACCTGGCACGTGAGCTGGGGATCGCTTTATCCATAAATAGCGATCGCCAGATCACGTCGTTGGCGGTGGCCAAAAACATCCAGGCGCACCTCTCCCTCCACCAACAGCCCCGGATGGCGGCGTGCGCGGGGATCCCGGCGCCAGAAGAGGAGGCCGCCTCTCAGGGGGTGGACACCCTCGCGGCCCTGGCGATGCCCGGTCGTCGCGGGAGGGGGGCGGGTGGTCGCCGTCCGGAGCAGCGGGGGCAGCCGGGACCTTCCCGCCCGCAGGACACTGCCACGGTGACCTGCTTCCGCTGTGGTCAGCAGGGCCACATTGAGCGGGGGTGTAGGAATGCCCCGGGGGCCTTCAGCAAGGGGGCTCCAACTCCTCCCGGACCTTCATCGGCATAGAGCCCAGGGCCCCAGGCGAGTCGCGACGCATCACCCGCGCGGCCGCCCCCCTCACCTCATGCATCTAGCGGGGCTAGGGTTCATCGTCAGGTGGTTGTCCTCGAGGGGTCGGGTGCACCACCATTGTCACCCACTGGATGGCCCAGGCTGACCCGCCACTGGAACGCGCTGGCGCATCGGATGGTGGCGGCAGCTGCTGGCTCCTCAGCGTTGGCGGGTTGCGTGCAGGGGGTGCGAGTTCGCCTCTTGGTGGATACGGGGGCGTCTGCCACCATTATTTCAGAGGCCATTTTCAAGCTCCTACCCCGCAGCGTCGGTCCGTTAGGGCCGGTTCGTGGGGCTTGTGTCGCCGCGAACGGCAGCAGTTTGGGCATATTGGGCCAAGTTATAGCGTCGGTTCGGGTGGACGAGATTGAGTTGGCCGGGCCTATTTTGGTCTCCAAGACCTTGGCAGTTCCATGCCTCTTGGGGACCGACTTTTTATCTAGAATGCCCATTCGAATTCTCGTTGACCAGGGCTGTGTGGAATTGCCGTCAGGGAGGCGGCTGCAATTCCTACAATCGCCTACCGTCCTGTCTCCCTTGGTTGCCAGTGTGCGGGCCTTGAATAGGGCGGTGGTGACCGTGCCGCCGACATCACAAATCTTGCTACCCCTAAGGTTGCGCAGACCGCTCGAAGGGGGCTCCACGGAGACAGGTATCCTCCTGTCCCCGTCGAGTTACTTTTCAAGGACGATGGGATTGGTGGGCGCCTTGACGGCCGTGTCGGGGGGCCAGGACCTTTTTCTACAGGCAGTCGGGTTCTGTCTCTGACGGAACAGCGATACTGCGTGACTCGGAGGAAGCTTTTGGCCATAGTTTTTTTTGTTCAATTGTATAGGCCCTACTTGTACGGTAGGCGGTTTACAGTCCGAACCGACCACGCGGCCCTGCAATATTCGCTGAGGATTGGTCAGACCTCGGGTCAGCTGTCCCGCTGGCTCGAGGTGCTCCAGGATTACCCCTATGACATAATCCACAGAAAGGGGGCACTGCATGGAAATGCGGACGGTTTGTCCAGATTGCCGGCAGGCGGTGGGTGTGCTTGCGCCCTGGGCTCTAGCCGTTGCAAGGCCCCAGGGGACGTCGCGGCCCAGTTGGTCACGTCGGCCGCGACGGCCACCCCCCCGGGTGTGGCGACATCCGCGGATTTCGGCCTGGGACTCCCCCGGGAGGTATGGTCCAGCTTACAGATGGAGGATTCCTCCCTGCTGAAGCTACGGCGACGCGTCAGACGTACGGCCCGGGGTTCAGCTTCGTCGGTGGCCCCAGCGATCGCCGTGCATGACGGACTCCTCATGCGTTGGGATGCCAAATTGGAACGCTATTGCGTGGTTGTGCCCACTAGCCTACGTGGTAAATTAACCCGAGCCATTCACGAGAAGCTTATGCACCTTGGCTACCACAAGACCCTATTGACCCTTAAGCGGGACTATTACTGGCCAGGTGTGGAGGGTGACGTGGCACTGATTTTGAAGGGTTGCCACGACTGCGTGCGGAGGAAGGCCCCAGTTGTCCAGGACCGGGCTCCGCTGCAGTCCATCTGGGTTTCTCGCGTTAATGAACTCGTGGCGCTCGACATCTTGGGCCCATTCCCTGCATCCCAACGGGGCCATAAATACCTCTTGGTGGGCGTTGAGTACCTCACACGTTGGCCTGTGGCGTGGCCTTTGGTCGATCAGTCGGCCTCTTCTATAACCGAGGCGTTCGTCCAGGGGTACGTGTTGGACAAGGGTGCGCCGGAACAATTGTTGACGGATCAGGGGCGGAATTTCTCGTCTAAGCTGTCCAAGGAGGTGTGTGACCTCCTTGGCACCAAGAAAATCCGCACCTCGCCCTACCACCCCCAATCGGACGGGATGGTAGAGCGCTTGAACCGCACCCTCACTTCCATGCTGTGCCACCATGTGAATACGTCTCAATTGGACTGGGACCTGTTCGTCCCGGGGGTCTTGGCAGCGTATCGGTTGGCTCCTCACGCCTCAACGGGATTTTCGCCTTTTTATTTAATGTACGGGAGGGAGCTGGAGCCCCCGGTGCACGTCCAACTGGACGTGGGGTCCTCCAGGAAGGGGTCGGCTGTGCCGGTCCCTTTGAAAGTCGCGCTTGACCAGCTGCGCGAGGCACGGCAGGCCGCTGTCGAGAATTCCGCCGGCCGGCAGGTGGCTAATGAGCGGCTGCCCAAACACCAGGCAGCGGGCCTCCCGTGTTACTATAAACAACATGGGTAGCTGGCGGCTTTCAAGAAAAGTCACTCACCTGAAGCAGCCTCAAAGAACGAATGTCGTTTGCGCTTGAATTAAGGGTTGAAATTTTTTGGAAAAGAGGGAGATGACAAACTATTAGGGGCCGTCCATAAATGACGTCACGCACTTAGGGGGTGGGGGTCAGATATTTGTGACGATGTGTGACGATGGGGGGGGGGTTGAGAAATGTGACGTCACATCATAATGCGCAACTTTAAATAAATATAAACACGTTCTAATTAATTAAATAGACTTTTAAATAAATGTTTTATCCTACATCAGAGTGCAGCGCCACATTAAATACGCACTACAATGACAATAGTTTAAAGAGATTTGAAGCATTTTTTTTTGGGGGGGGGTGGCAGAGCTTTGTGACGTTATATTTAAAGGGGGGGCCTGACTTTTTGTGAGGCCGTGTGATAAAGGGGGGGGGGGGTCAAAAATCGTAAAAAATCGCATTCCGTCATTTATGGACGGCCCCTTAACACCTCATTGAGATCAATCGCCGACGAGCACATTGCGAGTTATGTTTACCCAGATCGTGTCGCTGATGATGGCGATTCTCTTCTTGCTGTTGTCGTTGATATCGATCGATGTCGCTGATGATGACACCGATTATGATGTTGTTGTAGTTGACGATGTTGCCGTAGATGATGATGTTGTAGTTGATGGTGCTGTAGCAGATAATGCTGTTGTAGTTGATGGTGCTGTAGAGAGATGTTGCAGTTGATGGTGCTGTAGATTATGATGTTGTAGTTTATGTTGCTGTAGATGATGATGTTGATGGCGCTGTCGATGATGATGTTGTAGTTGATGTTGCTGTAGAGAGATGTTGCAGTTGATGGTGCTGTAGATGATGACGTTGGTGCTGTTGTAGTTGATGGAGCTGGAATGGTGATGTTGTAGTTGATGTTACTGTAGCTGATGATGATGATGATACTGATGATGCTTTAGTTGATGTTACTGTAGTTGATGATGATGATACTGATGATCTTGTAGTTGATGGTGCTGGAGATAATGTTGTACTTGCTGTACCTGATGATACTGATGATGATGATGTCGCAGTTGTTGGTGCTGTCGCTGCTGTTGATGTTGTTACCGGTGGCACTCGTACAGCAGTGCACTGCCCCTTTAAACCTAGGGACCGTGAAGATTTGACCAAAACCTGAGCCCGCTGAAGTTTGATCAAACCAATCCAGAATGTGCCAGATCTCAAAAACTAAGCGGGTGTTCATCCTGGATAGTCATTGGATGGGCGATCACAGTACATAAAATTCGTGATCTGATCCCATCTGTGAAGGATGTGATCCCTGACATGTAATACCCCGGCATCTACAAACTAAGCTGTGTCTGCGGCAGTAGTTACATCGGGGAAACTGAGCGACATGTCCTTGTCCGTGTTCGTGAACACAAGGAAGATCTGAAACACGGTAGGACCAATACCTCGGCCGTGGCTGATCATTGTTTTAATGCGGTGGGCTCACATGAAATTGATTTCTCTAAGACGAAGGTACTTTGCAAACCCACTAGCTATCAACAAAGATTCGTTCATGGAGCCATCCATATATACAGACACAGACACAATTTCAACCGAGAAGATGGGTACACACTTAGCAATCATTGGAAGGTCGTTATCAACCAGTTTAAGTCATAACTGGCTGTGATGTTCCCATCCTGCCACCTTCCGATGTTAGTTGTTATTTTTGGCTCTCCGATTTTACATTAACAGGTTAAATTTCTCACACTAACACAGCCACCTTTGCGTGCCGTACCTCGACGTAGCGGTGGTTCTGCGATCTTACATTAACATCCTAATTTCTCACATTAACATAGCCACCTCAGCGCGCTCGCCATGGAGGCCGCTCACCGATCTTACATTAACATGCTAATTGTTACCTGGCAGCCCTTCAATTGGTGGAAACCCACCGCCAATCGCGGTCGCCGCCCACCACTTACATTAACATTAGCTGCCCCACCCATGCTGCTGACATTTGGGCTACGCCCATTTTAAACCTTTATAAACAGTTTTCCTTTAGAAGCTAACCCCCTTTTCCTGATGACGACCGCTTGTGTTACGTTCGAAACGTCGTAGTTTTTTCTTTGAACCTATCTACGTGACTTTACCAAAATAATGTTTTTTTACTTAATTTGCGCTATTTCAATTATATTAGAATTATTGTGATCTTAAAATGAATATGTACGTATGCATATTTATTTTTACAAGAATAACATTAATCTAGGTATAAAAAAAGTGTTTTTCAATGCAGACACTTTTAGGTGCACTTAAAAGTAGGAGATACATTATTTTGACCCAAACATTTTTCAAATTTGACATGCTCAATAAACGTGGGTGGTCTCCTTTCGATGTTTAATTTTCTTAATGCAAGGCACCCACTTTTCTCTAGTACATCAAATTTGATTGATTCTGTGGTCAAATTAATGTATGCAAATAAAACTAGTTTTTTTACCTTAACATTTTTTTTGACATGGAAATCAGACAAATATATTAAGACATGCTATATGCCAAGGCGTGTCCTTAAATGTCTTTGCACAGAAATGCATTTTGCAGAACTAAACGTTTATTTGTCAAAGAGAGCGCTTGTGGGGGCTGATGCCCCCCCCCACTCCCCACTATGTGGGGGCCGATCCCCCCCTCCCTCACCACGAGCGGGGGGGGGGTCGCCACGTCTACTTGGTGGGGGCTAATGCCCCCCCCTTCACTCCCCATTAGGTGGGGGCCGACCTCCTCCCCCTCCTCGTGCGTCCTAAACGCGTGGATTACGTAATTGTTTGACTCGCCGCTGTGCGGGGTTTAATTAATAATTTCCACTCAGCCGTTGTGTCAACAAGGCGACCGCTCCCGTGCGGTCTGGATATTAATAAATTAATCGGCGCTCGCGCGCGCCCCCCACCCACCCACTCACGTGTGTCTCACCGTTAACACCGCGGTGCACGCACAGACACACGTGACACTAGAGCGTGTCTCACCGTTAACACTGCGGTGCACGCACAGACACACGTGACACTAGAGCGTGTCTCACAGCTAACACTGCGGTGTGCACACAGACACACGTGACACTAGAGCGTGTCTCACAGCTAACACCGCGGTGCACGCACAGACACTAGTGACACTAGAGCGTGTCTCACCGTTAACACTGCGGTGCACGCACAGACACTAGTGACACTAGAGCGTGTCTCACCGTTAACACCGCGGTGCACACACAGACACACGTGACACTAGAGCGTGTCTCACCGTTAACACCGCGGTGCACACACAGACACACGTGACACTAGAGTGTGTCTCACAGCTAACACTGCGGTGTGCACACAGACACTAGTGACACTAGAGCGTGTCTCACCGTTAACGCCGCGGTGTGCACACAGACACACGTGACACTAGAGCGTGTCTCACAGCTAACACCGCGGTGCACGCACAGACACTAGTGACACTAGAGCGTGTCTCACCGTTAACACTGCGGTGCACGCACAGACACTAGTGACACTAGAGCGTGTCTCACCGTTAACACCGCGGTGCACACACAGACACACGTGACACTAGAGCGTGTCTCACCGTTAACACCGCGGTGCACACACAGACACACGTGACACTAGAGTGTGTCTCACAGCTAACACTGCGGTGTGCACACAGACACTAGTGACACTAGAGCGTGTCTCACCGTTAACGCCGCGGTGTGCACACAGACACACGTGACACTAGAGCGTGTCTCACAGCTAACACTGCGGTGTGCGCACAGATACACGTGACACTAGCGTGTGTCTCACAGCTAACACCGCGGTGCACGCACAGACACTAGTGACACTAGAGCGTGTCTCACCGTTAACACTGCGGTGCACGCACAGACACTAGTGATACTCGCCTGTGTCTCACAGCTAACACTGCGGTGCGCGCATAGACACGCGCCGGCGCGGGCAGCCGTTTATATTTTAATATGCGCGCGCGTCACACCCACACTGATTTATAGTCACCCACACACCGTCGTACGCCAATCGCTGTCCCACCGCTCTTCACAGGCACACATGCACCACGTCAGTCTGTGCTAAGATTTATTTCCCGGAGCGAATAGGGGACCCCTGTTTATGGCCCCCTTCAGGCAGCACCCTTCGGACAGCGCCTAACCTCCTATCACCTAGCCGTCGCAGAGTGCGTTTACCCTCCAAGCTCGAGCTGGGCTGACTTGCCCCCCCCCGTACCTACTCACCTCTTCAGCTGCACGATGGGGGTTGGGGAAGATGCCCGCCTCGGAGACTTTGCCTGGGCAATCGTTTTCAGCTGCACCCTGCAGGCGTCTCACGGACGCTGAGGGCGGCTGGTATTCTCTCCCACTCCAGAAGAACTCTGACTCTGATCCAATTTGCCCTCCTTCCCCCCTTATGTTCCCAAAGCGTGTTAACCCCCGGGTCATGTGACATCATCCTGCGCATCCAATCGAATCCTCTTTGTGGACGTTTTGAGCGCTCTGACCGTTGGGGGGGGGGGGGGGGGTCGCGTCAACCCCCCCCTTCCCATTGTCTCTGTACCTGCTTTCCCCGCGGTTGACTCACTGATAATCCCCTCGCTCCCTCCAACTTAAATCAACTCTTATCTGCCTAGGGGCTTTTCCCTCCCACCCCACTGTTTACACTGCTGCTGGGTGCTGGCCTTGAGGTCCCACCCCCCCCCCCCCCCCCCGTGTTGTGTATGCTTCATATCGACCGGCTTGTAAAGCTCTATGCTCCCTTTTTGGGGAAGCCACCATGGAATCCAGTCTGGGGGGCTCAGCCAATTTCCTGGTCCGGGGAAACCGTAGAAGTCCCTGTCAATGGGGTCCTCCGGTGAAAACCCATCGCACCAGATGAAAAAAAACACTGGCTACACATTAAATGTCTGCACGGAAATGGATTGCAGAACTGTCGTTTCTTAAAAGGGACCGGTAGCATGCAATTTGTGTGCACATTGATCTTGTTGTGACAGTAAATGTTTTATGTTTACCGGTTGCATGAACACGTGCAAGTCTTGTACAAAATGACACAACCAAAAAGGGGTTATTATTGGGTGTAATGCTTTTATTTAAACACAGCTGCATAGTTAGTATATGTTACACATCACCATGCAAACTTTATACAGGAACACATTTCATCATGAAAACCTATATTCAATGTAGGTGCCCCAAGTGAGCTTTTAAATGATAATTATGCGAGGTGGCTGGGTAGTTGAGCTGGCTGCACTTAGTTCGTGGGTTAAAATCCAGGTTTTTATCCACTCATGATTAAATCGAGTTCCCACGTGTCGCGAGTTGGTGGTCTCGGTCTGGTCACCAATAACTGCAGCAAAAAAATCCATCATCAAATTGTGTTCTGCACTTAAAATTGGCTAACTTAAATTTGCTTTTGACTGTCTGGAAATATGGAAGGGAAAGTGCTCCCTACCCTCTACTGGTGTGGACCATCGGTCACAGGAAGGGATTTTATCTGCTTAAAAACTGTCCAATCTCTGGCATGAAAGTTTCCACTTGTATGCTTTGCCTCATGAGATGACAATAGTAGCAAAATTGGTATAAAAAAAAATCAGGAAAACATGTAAAATCTATTACGCGCAAAGCAACCGTCGCATTTCTTCCGCCGGTAATTTTTTTGCTTAAGGCCTGTGCGTGCGCTGGTGAGCTTTTAAGTGATGACTCCGCGAGAAGCAGCTGTTGCAAATATCGCACCGGTACGGCCTCTCTCCCGTGTGCACGCGGATGTGCGACTTCAAGCTCCCGCTGCAGACGAAGCTCTGGTTGCAGAACCTGCACTGGTACGGCTTCTCCCCTGTGTGCGTGCGCATGTGGACCTTCAGATTGAAAGACTGAGCAAAGGACCGGTTGCACATCTTGCAGTGGTACGGCTTCTCTCCCGTGTGTATGCGATGGTGGTACTTCAAAAGCGAGACCCACGCAAAGCTCTTCTTACACACCGTGCACTGGTATGGCTTATTCGCCGACTTAGCAGTCACATTTAATTTTGGCGAACGGGAAGTCGCACCCATTAACATGTAAAGCTGGTTGTCCGATGCATCGGGCTCATCAGCAGCAGGAACTTGCCCATCGATTGGAAAATCCTCTATACCATTCGGGCATTCTTGTTGCCCGATGAAGTGTTGAGTTTTTAGGGGATTGGGCATAAGCAATTCACCCGGGGACATGTCTTGCATCTCTTCTGCTTTAAAGTTTCTTTGCATTTTACCTCCAGTTTTCTGATGCGGATTCTGATGCTGCAGCTGTGAACATGAACCAATGTTGTCAGCGTTTGAAGAAACCACATCTTGTATGATGAACCCTGAATCATCTTCAATGCCACAAGCACCTTTGATGGGGGAAAACCATAAAAATGCGTCATTAACCCTTTGCCGTTCCGATGACGTACTGAATAAAAACTGTGTGTGGGCGTCGTCAAGAAAAGTGGGCTTGGGCAGTACACTCCGCTAAAGCGGATAAGGGCCATTGGTCGAGACCAAAAAGAGCGGTAGCCAAAGGAGGGACCACGTCCGAGATGACGTCCACCATGGAGATGCAGCAATTAAATAATCTTGTGTGCAGATGCTAGATGGATTTTCCATTACAAGATAGTGACGTATGGTGACGACTTACAAAAGCCTTCACCCAGAAATGGATTGATCATGGCTAATGATTATGAACTACAAACAATACCTATGATACGACTGCAGATATTTCCGTGATATTTAAGTGAAGGGAAAAATGTCAAACTTGGACTTCGATTAGCATGGTTGGCTAAGTATGGTGGCGGAAGAATTTCAACATACATACACACAGAATTTGGCTTTACCTTCAAGGGCCTCCAATTTTATTGAAGACGATGCGTCCACAGCGTCCATAGCGTCCACAGCGTCCGAACCTCCCACGTCTGAAATTAAGTTTTCTCCATCCTCGTCTGCATAAAATCACAATGCGCCAGGAGCTTAATTTCCCAAAACTAAAGTATTCCTTTACATATTAATGCCAGATGTGATATCAAATAATTAATGTACAGATGTGTTGCTAAATCCATACACCACATAGAGTAAAACCTCTCAAACCCAGACTCGAGTAACCTAGAATTTGGAGTAAGTCAAAGGCTACTTGAAATCACCACTGATAAATTAACAAAAAAATTACGAATAGAACTCTGACCGTAACACTGTTTGTGCACTAATGAAGTTAGTTTAGTAGGCAAAGGTGTGCGTATGTGCACTGGTCATTCTAAAGCTGAGTATTTGTCTATGCTAGGTGTACTCTTGCTTTTTGAACTTTAAAATTACATTTTGTAAATAAACAAAATGTAAAGCCTGTCGTAAAATATCTTCAGCTTTCCACATCCAGTGAACCACATCCTTCCACCTCTGCTTCGCAGTGATGAGAATTAAACTGCACGTATTTTTTGTATTTTGAAACTGTAAAAGGTAATTGTAAATATTTAGTTATTTCTGAAGTGATTATTCTGTGGGCTTTTCGGTAAAGCCACGTAGATAGAAAAAATAATAAAAATATCACGACGTTTCGATCGCAACACAAGCAATCATCATCAGGTGAAAAAAATAGCGAGAGAGCTGCCGAGGCAGGATGTTCTAAAGGTTTGAGATGGGTGTAGCCCAAGGGTCATAAGCGAAGTGGGCGGGGCTAGTGAAGAAATTTGCATGTAAATGTAAGATCGGAGAGCTGAGCTACCTCCACGACGACGAAGCTTCGGAGGTGGCCATTGTATTGTGAGAGCTAGCAAGTCAATGTAAGATCGTACAGCCACCGCCACATCAAGGAAAATGAGCAACGGTGGCTGTTAGTGAGACATTTAACCTGTTAATGTAACGCCAGAGAGTCGAAAATAACTACTACACATCACAGCCAGTTATGACTTAACCTGGTTAATAACGTCCTTCCAACGATTGCTCAGTTTGTACCCATCGTCTCAGTTGAGCAATAATTGGAAGGACGTTATTAACCAGGTTAAGTCATAAATGGCAGTGATGTTTAGTAGTTTAATAGTTATTTTCGACTCTCTGGTGTTACATTAACAGGTTAAATGTCTTTACATGCACAGGTTAAATGTCTAACACAGCCACCGTTGCTCGTTTTCCTTGATGTGGCGGTGGCTCTATGATCTTACATTGACATGCTAGCTCTCACAATAAAATGGCCACCTCCGCAGCTTCATGGTCGTGGAAGTAGCTCAGCACTCCGATCTTACATTGACATGCAGATTTCATCACTAGCTCCGCCCACGTCGTTTATGACCCTTGCTTGGGCTACACCCATCTCAAACCTTTTTCACATCCTGCCTCAGCAGCTCTCTCGCTATTTTTTCACCTGATGCGGTCAAAACGTCGTGAATTTTTTTTTTAATGTACGTGGCTTTACCGAAAAGACCCAAAGAATGAATTCCTGCAGTCACGAAAGATTTAAGTAAAGATTTATTAAGTTATTGTTATTTCAATATATTCAATGTTAATTGATTGTAAATGTAGTTAAAATTAAGCCATGTATTATTTTGTTTGTAGTTTGCAGGTATCTGCTGAAACTGAAAAGATTATTTCCCCAAATAGTCTGGTTTTGAGAGGATATAATTACCGTTTGGTGTGTAATCATTATTTTCATTCATCGCAATGTTCTCAGGATGGCCAACCAAAGCGGTTGAAGGTGAGCCAGCAGGACACGTTCTCTTGTTATCAATGTTTCCCATCCTCTGTACAGACAACAGCAGCTCCCGGCTCAAGCCGCTGAACAGCGTGAGCAGCACGTCCACCAGGCCTCCCAGCATCACATCGCCAGGGGAGGAAGCGGCGGCATCGTCCCAGCGCGGCGTCCCAGCGTCGTGGTGCTTAGCATCCTGCAGGGCCTTCACCACCTGCCGCAGCACGGCGTAGAAGCCGAAGGGCAGGCGGTCGCGCGCCGTGGCCAGCAGCTCGGCCTGCACGAGGCCGTCTCCGACGCAGGCACACAGGACCCCGTAGTCCCGGATGCCCAGCTCCGAGTCCATGGCTCGGGCCACTTCCGCGTTCACGCCCTGCGTCTCCAGCCATGCCAGGAAATCCCCGCTCGACTCCAGCTGCGGGGAGGCCACTACGCACGCCATCTGGGACACCAACGTTAATTCAAAGGGATTCCTTACTCAAGTAAGCAATCGACGGCATTCATTTCCTCTGGCAGCAAGTAGGCGAAGGTGTAAATCCACATTCAAATGGCAGCGGCAAGTTTTTCTGCTGATAAATTACATCCTAACCATTAGTTACCATTTAAGTGTCTAATGTCCATGCAACTGCAGGGCAAGAATATCAGTCCACTGTCTGTAACCTCTAAACCATAACTTGAACTTCTAATCCTAAGTCCTAGCTCTAACCTCTAATCCAAGCTTTTAATTCCTAATCCTAACCCGTAACTTAAACCCTAACTCTTTACTCTAAGCCACGACATAAAACCCCCTAATCTTACAAAAAAACTGGATACTTGTCTGTTGCAAGGAATTTGGTGCTATTGTGCTAATCTTATGCAACAACCGAAGCAACATCTCCCTGCATATTTCAATGACTGAATTAGAGAGGACCACTTGCAACCTAAGGACTGTGATTGGACAAAAATACATCTGGTCTATACCGCAATTCAATAAAAACCTTGAGGAACCGGGCCGGACAGCAGGAGGTTAGCGGTGAGTCCACGCGTGGCCCGCCCATTATTTTATTTACCACTTCCATCCGCGCCTCTTTCCCGCACTGCGCACTTGTCTCAGTCACAGTTTTGGAAAGCCCACAAGCTCTAACCCCTAGTCGCCACAATGAGTAAAAAAACAAACGTTGCTGGAGAGCTTCTTGAAAAGGGGGAAAGACCCAATGATGACCCCCCCCCCCCGGTTCGTGAAAAAATTGTCTTCCACGAAACCGGTCCCTGGTGCCAAAAGGTTGAGGACCTCTGCTCTAGGGGATATTTATCACTCCTTACGTTAATAAACTGGCCTCAGGGTAGCCACTTGTGAGGTACAATAAACAGGGACAGAATATATCACAATACTAGAAGAGAGAACTGCATGTAAATGTATTATCTTGAGTAGTGGACTTTGCAAATTACAAAGACTGAGACCCTTCACTAGGAGGCCGATCCTGGAACACCAGGATAGGTGGCAACCCTTCCTTTTCCTGGTGGCATTGAGGTAAGAGCATGCAGCTCACAAGAGGAGCGTTGTGAGTGTAAATCCGTGTTGAGTAGGCCTAACATCCCTCCGAAGTGGAACAAATAAGTACAGTGCCACTTTGTGAGAAAGCTACAGTTGTCTGGGTTGTGGAAGGATCCTGTCATGGTAATGTGGAATTTCCAACACTGGTTAGGGAATGCCAATGGCGATGAGCACTGCCCTCATTGCGTTGTTTGAGCAGAGGCAATTTGACGTTCACACAAGTCATTTTCATACTATTTGGTTCTTTCGGGAAAGTCACATAGGTATAAAATAAAATTCATCAAATCACTACGTTTCGGGCACAACCACAGCAGGAAACAATTGCTGAAGTGGGCAAAAGGGCTGCTTGTAACAAGAGGCTATATAGGCAAGAGAGGGGGGAGGAGCAAGGGAGGAGAGATAGAGGGTCAATCCACTGCTGGATAAGGACCCTGCCACGCTGTGCAGGCGTTTTTTTTTTGGTCCGGTTCAATACAGAAAAATCCACGCGACTACGGGAAGAGAGAGACTCCGCAAACTCCAAATATACAGCAGCAGCAGGCGTCAGGGTCGGGAACGAACCCAAGACCTCCTGCATACCAGGCGAGGTAGGTAACATACCGCTATCAGGGCACCCGGTGGTTTCGTCACAGGCTGCACATTTAGACACCTTGCAACGTAACCATATATACATTAAAAACGCCGGCCACCTGAGTTCGATTCCAGGGCACGGCTCAATCAGTGGCGAGCGATATCAGAACCCCAACCACGTGGGCCCTGCCCTTTAACCAAATCCGCGGATTGACCAGCGTGGTGAAGTATGGGCAAACACCCCCCCAACCCACCATGGTGACCAACATCCAGCAGTAGATTGTGACAGCACGGAATAATTATTGCCGCGACACTAATTCGCAATTCAAGTCCATCAAGTTGACTTCTACCAATTGTGCCCCAAGGCGACCGCACAGTTTTAACACTGCGTAGGCGGAATGACCGTGGCGAAAAATAACGTAAGCATCGCGAACAACACACGACATCAACTTATACCCGTCGTTATTTAATGATAATTATTATTTTGCACAAATATTTAAATCCGAGTTACTTTGTCGTCGAAGATTGGGGTTGGTTGGTGGGTTGGTTGGTGCCCGGAGCGCGGAGGTTGATCGCTCCGCCGCCACCAGCTGATTCAACGCGCTAAGGGACCGTAGCGATTTACCGTGGAAAAATAATATTACAAAAAAGCAAGCCGGCAAAACCACTCTATCGTGTGAGCAAGCTCAGTTGGTATGTGAATACTGTACATTATTTACCATCGTTGTGATATATCGATAATCGCATGCAAATTTGATCTCATGGAAAATTATTATGTAGACATAGTTTGAGACATTTACATGTCGAATAACATACACAATCTTAATTTTTAAAATATCTTACACTATTGAAATGAAATGTCAAATAATTATTAATAAACTCCTTTAAAATAGTTGTTTTTTAAACAACGGTTTTATTAACAACTTCGTTTAACTCGCGGTCGAGAAGTACGTCAATGGCGCCTGAGATACGCGGCGCTTGCTTTTTGTGCGAGCCGATTCCACCCTTTAGGGACCGCGGCGTTTTTGACCTACACACAATATATATAAATAATAAGGCGTCCATACAAAATGTAAATTGCTTTAAAGTAGCGAATTACAGAAATGTATTACTTGATGCCGATTTTGATACAGGCATGCATTGTCACCGGATCTGAGTACGTGTGCAACATGTGTAATTGATTGGACAACGGAAAGTGGACGAAATTTTAATTACAAGGTTTGACCACGACAGAGGAATCAAGTTAAGTAAAACCGTAGAAAAAGGCTGCAAAGTGGACCTCAAAATGAGAAATAAACTATAAACAAAGCTCACGTACACCACGCTTGCTAAACAACTGACAATATATTTTGTGGGGAAGCAACTGGGGTGCATTCCATGGTCAGAGAGAGAGAGCTCTGATTTATGTGGCCGCGTTGGATCGTCTCGGGATGGTGGAAATTCACCACCAAATCAGATCCTTAAACGATCCGAAGCACCTGCCTAAACGCTCAGACAATGAACTCCAGGGACGATGCTCTCTCTGCGCTAACAGGTCGTTCAGTGGTGGGGGGAAGCGCTCTGTCGGGCTCTGCCCATTGAACGAACCCCCTGAGAAACAGCAATATCGGGAAACTGAACTTACTCATGAAGAGCAGCATTGCAATGTGCCTGGATAACCTTTGTTTGAATCAGAATGCATTTGCCTGCTGTGACTGTATGGCTCAGAAGCACAGGTCATCATTGAAGAAAGTTGAATTAAAAAACTGGGATGCGTGCTTTGAATTCCGCTGGCAGAACAAGGCGACACGTGGATGACAGAAGATACGCAGGTTAATGCCCTCAAACTGTTTCTAGACAAGTGAACTTGGGCAGGACACGTCATGACTGTAAGGGATGATGGGAGTGACAGCCAATGAATGGAACTAATCCGAAAAAAAACCCCATCGATCAAGGAAACCAGGTGATGAAATTAGTTCTTGTGCAGGTGTGATGACCAATGAGAGCAGGTTATGAAAGAGGCTGCAATTTTGATTCAGTGGGGACAGGAAGGGCAATTATTGGGCCAGGAAACAGAAAAGATAACCCATTTAAAGATCACAACTACGGGAAAAGGGCAAGGCAATTATGGGAGAGCCATTATTATTTTACCCCAGGTAAAGCCCACTGAGCTATATAGCTCTTTTCCAGAAGTGACCTGGCCACACATTTATTGCAGCCAAATACTCTCAAACACAGAGGGAAAACCTGGAGGACCCGGAGAAAAATCCAGGCGACCACGGGGAGAACATGCAAACTCCAAATATATAGCAGGCGTCAGGTTCGTGATTGAACCCACCACCTCCTGCATACTCGCCGAGGTAGTTAACATCTCGCAACCGTGGTGCCCTTAAGGTAGACAGAGCGGGCCAGGAAATTGGAAAGACAAGCCGTTTAAAGAAAGAGGCATCACAGCAGGACAGCACGAGTGTGAAGACAATGAGCTTTTGAGGATGTGAACCCAAACAGGGCATTAGAGGGAACTGGCACGGTGGGAGAGGGAATGAAGGATGACATAGTTGAACAGAAGGGATGGAGTTGGCGCTGAAGTGAGAGGAAGAGGTGATGCAAGGTTCGGGGGGAGAGGGGACGCCGAGGACAGATTGGTAACCATGGGAATGGAGTGCTATTGGATAATGCAGCACGCTGGCATGGAACACAAAAAATATACGGGACAGCAGAGGCAGGACCGCGGAGTGGCAAAATATGGCTCACTTCATAAGACACGCCCACGCACCACATTTAAATTTCGATTTAAAGCTTTCGTGACTGCAAGGATTCATCTTCTTTGGTTCTTTCGGTAAAGTCACGTAGAATGAGAATAAAATAATAAACTAATAAAAGAACACAATAAAATTCTCACGACGTTTCGGCCACAACACAAGTGGCCTTCTTCAGGTGAAAGGAACAAACCTGTCGGAACGACAGAGCTTCAATGAACGTTGTTAAGATTCGTAGCATCTTTTAAGCTGGTTTAGAGAAGTGAGGCACCTTGACAAAGGGGTTTACATATCACACAGGAGAATTTAACATTGAAATAGCTGAGGGATTAGCTTGTGACTGGTCACAGAAATGGCTATGTTAAAGTCAAAGCCTACACATCCACAGAGGCACCTAGTACAAATCAAACAGGATAATTTAGCATTGAAATAGCTGAGTGATTAGCTTGCGACTGGTCACAGAAATGGCTATGTTAAAGTTAAAGCATACACATCCGCAGAGGCACCCCTTGACAAAGGAATTAGCATAGAATTTAGCATTGAAATAGCTGAGTGATTAGCTTGTGACTGGTCACAGAAATAGCTATGTTAAAGTCAGAGCATACACATTCACAGAGGCACCTAGTACAAATCAAACAGGAGAATTTAGCATTGAAATAACTAGGAGAATTTAGCATTGAAATAACTGAGTGATTAGCTTGTGACTGGTCACAGAAATGGCTATGTTGAAGTCAAAGCCTACACATCTGAGCTATTCACAGTAACCGGGTATACACTACAATATATAATGAATACTACATAGTGAACCAATAAAAAACTAAAATATAAATTACCTCAATGTTATCAATAAACTCTATATATTCTCCAATCAGCTAAGCTACCAACAATAAGTCGTTATATATCACAATGCTATATGGCGAAAAAATGGGTGGATTCTTACCCTAAACTTTAGCAACACGGATAGCTACGGGCCCCGTTCAGACGGACGAGTTCATCCATGGTCGGAACAGAGGAGGGGGAGAGAGACAGCTGCGAGGCGCTGTTATACTCCATGTTGTAAACCATACCATTAACCGTGGTGTGAGAGGTATTAAGAGTCAATGCCAGTGAAAGAGCTGCGGTCTGAAGGTCATCGTAAAATACAATTAATTAAGAACGGAAATGGTTTAAAACATTTTTCCAATGGTTACTAAGCCAGAATCCATCTTCTCGGTTGAAATTGTCTCTGTGCTTGTATATGTTAATGGCCTCAAGAACGAATCTCTCATGGTAGCCGGTTGGTTTGCAAAGAACCTCCGTCTTGGAGAAGTCAATGTCATGTGAGCCCACTGAATTATAACAGTGATCTGCCACAGCAGAGAAGTTCGTTCTACCGTGTTTCAAGTCTGCTTTATGTTCGCGGATGCGGTCCGAGATATGTCGTTTGGTTTCTCCAATGTAGCTACTACCACAGAGGCACTTTAGTTTGTAAACGCCCGGGTACTGTATGTCTGGAACAGCATCTTTTACAGATGGAACTAGATCACGGATTTTATGTACTGTGTTGAATCGGACCTGGATCTTGTGTTTATTCAGGATTTTGGAGATCTTTTTAGTGACCCCTGCAATGTAGGGTAAGGTGATGGTTTTGAGTGGCTCCACAAGAGGATCCTTCTTCATGACTGGAGTGATGGCTTTGCGGATTGTGTAGTCGGAGTAACCATTAGCCCTGAGTGCCTGGTGTACGTGCTTGAGTTCACTGGTAATGTGTTCCTGGTCGGAAATGCATTGGGCTCTATGGTATAGAGTCTTGATGAGGGAGTTCCTCAGGGATGGATGGTGATGGGAATCCGGTTTCAAGTAAGCATCTGTATGGGTAGCTTTCCTGTAAACAGAGTGGCTCATTGAACCATCATGTCTCCTTTTAATTAAGACATCCAAAAAGGGTAGTTTGCCATCTTTTTCGACCTTCATGGTAAACCTGATGGCTGGGTGTATGGAATTGATGTGGTTGCGGAATTGGTCTAGAGCAGGCTGGCCATGTGGCCAGATGACAAAGGTGTCATCCACGTACCTCTTCCATAAGGTCGGGCGTAGAGTGGCAGTCTGGATGGCGTCAGTTTCAAATTTTTCCATGAATACGTTGGCTACAACCGGAGACAGGGGGATGCCCATTGGGGTGCCCTTAGTCTGTTTGTAGAAAGTTCCATCCAGGTGAAGTATGTGTTGGTTAAGCAATGTCTCACCAGGGGGGGTACATCAGTGTGCAGTCCTTGATGAACCAGGTCTTCAATGATAGCGATGGTGTCAGGTACCGGGACTTTGGTGAACAAGGACACCACATCAAAACTGACAAGCAGGTCGTCTGGGGACAGGGAAATGCCTTTGATTGTCGATACCAGGTGAGTAGAATTTGGTACCGCAGAGGTGGTTTTTCCAGTGAAAGGTCGCAGTATATCAGCAAGAAAACGTGCCAGTTTATAGGTGGGGGAGTTGATAGTAGAGACGATGGGACGAAGAGGTGTATCTTCTTTGTGTATCTTTGGAAGGCCATATAATCTTGGTGGTCTGGCAGCAGAGGGTTTCAACGAGAACTGTTTGGTCTGATCAATTAATGCTGTTGAATCAGAGATGATTTTGTTCGTTTTGGTAACCAGGCTGTTGGTGGGATCTCTTTTTATTTTTGTATAGCTGCCATCGTTGAGTAGTTCTTAAATTTTGTTGTTATATTCTGTTTTGTCCATGATGACAGTGGCATTGCCCTTGTCGGCTGAGAGGACGACAATACCATCTCTCTTTTTTAATTGAGATAATTCAAAACGTTCGTCTTTGCTGATGTTGCTGGGTGGCAACTTAGCGTTTTTGAGGGTTGCAGCGATTGCAGATCTTGCTACGTCTGCAGAGATGTGACTCAAGTCCTTGAGTGCAACGTCGACATGGGCAATGATATCATTAACCGGTAAGTGTCTTGGTGTGACAGCAAAGGTTAGACCTTTAGCTAAAACGGATTTCAGACCATCAGAAATGGAACTGTTACTGCGATTAATTACGACTTTGTTGACGTCTATCTTTTTGGTGTGTGGATCCGATTTTTTGTTGGAGAGTTGATTGAATTTGGAAATCAAATTGTCCCTACATTTGGTCGACATAGTGGCAGCCGAAGAGGTAGTCATATTGTCTACATGTTCCCAATCCGATGTAGACATTGTTGCTGTCAATGTTAAGTGTGATTTGTAGAGTGTCTTGTCTAACTGATC